CCAATAGTACACGTCGACTGGAAGAGATTAGTACGCAACCAGTCAGTGTTATTTTTCAGGGAAGTCAGAAAACTCCGTCTCACCACCAATGACTGACCCACATCACCAACCACAAACTCCTCCTTCCCTGTTGCTTTTTCTACACCTTCACTGTCAAATATAGGCGGACCATAATAATCAAACTCTCCCTCCTCTGTTGCTTCTTCAGTGTCTTCATTATCAAATACAGGCGGACATTCATAATCAAACTCTTCCTCTTATGTTGATTCTTCAGTGTCTTCATTGTCAAATACAGGCGGACATTCATAATCAAACTCTTCATCGTCTATTACTTCTTCAATGTCTTCAATCGTGACATTCTCAATAATATGATCACGGTGTTGGCCTTCCTCAATCGGAATCTGCCCACGACGACCACGACCCCTAGGTGCATGTTGCTGCGGTATAAGTGCAGCAACTTGTTGTGTCAGCAACTTCACTTGTTGACGCAGCTGTGCGATTTTATCACGTCTATGTATTTCCTCTACAAGGGCTTCACGGGCTTCTTGACGTCTCCTTGAAGGCATGATGAAGGAACGACTTCGACTCTGATACCAACTGATGCCGGGGAAGCTTATAGGAAAGACAAAAATCTCACAAAAAGAATTTCATTCAAGAGAAATTAAAGAAAAACTTTATTTCATTCAAAACTGAGCTGCCTCAAAAGGCTTACAACGTTTAAATAGCGAAACCCTAATAAAATTCGGAAAGAAATTACATAATAATAAAAAATATTATTTTTTCCAAAAATGGAAAAAATTGAGATAATCACGGATCTTGATTCTCCTAATCATCAGGATCATCCCCCAACAAATGGAAATCAAATCCGAGTTTATTTGACTAAGATATTGCCAAAACAAAAATTACCATAAACGGCAAAAACGCATAATTGAGGGCCTAAACGATGGAATTTGCCCAAAATTTGACGTGCTTCAGGGCCAAAGGCCCTGAGTTGTGATCATTGGCCCGTTTCCACTCAAATTAGACTAGCAATTCGTCAAAAACGAACAAACCCGAAATTAAATTGAGTTATTATTTTGCCTTCATCATTATCCACGGGTTGAGAAAAATTCGCTCTCGAATTTGATGGGGTAGAAACCTCATCATCATCAGAATTATCACCTCGAAATGACGGCTCTGGCGGTAATCCATCTGGGAGCTCTTCCGGGAAGTCCTCATGAAATTCCTCTAGCAATGACTGAATCCTGCGAGTGACCTCCTGCTCACTGTCAACTGACTTTTCCACCAGCACATACACTATCCCATATCCTTCCATATTTGTCTCGAACTTCACTCTGGTCAGTAAATTGGCGTCATCCCCAACTGCTTTTACTGAGCCCTTATCTGGAAGCAACACACTTTTCTTTTCCCCAATAGTACACGTCGACTGGAAGGGATTAGTACGCAACCAGTCAGTGTTATTTTTCAGGGAAGTCAGAAAACTCCGCCTCACCAACAATGACTGACCCACATCACCAATCACAAACTCCTCCTTCTCTGCTGCTTCTTCTACACCTTCACTGTCAAATATAGGCGGACCGTAATAATCAAACTCTCCCTCCTCTGTTGCTTCTTCAGCGTCTTCATTGTCAAATACAGGCGGACATTCATAATCAAACTCTTCCTCTTCTGTTGATTCTTCAGTATCTTCATTGTCAAATACAGGCGGACATTCATAATCAAACTCTTCAGCCTCTATTGCTTCTTCAATGTCTTCATTGTCAAATACAGGTGGACCTCCATAATCAAACTCTTCCTCCTCTATTGCTTCTTCAATGTCTTCAATCGCGACATTCTGAATATTATGATCACGGTGTTGGACTTCCTCAATCGGAACCTGCCCACGACGACCACGACCCCTAGGTGCATGTTGCTGCGGTATAAGTGCAGCAACTTGCTGTGCCAGCAACTCCACTTGTTGACGCAGCTGTGCGATTTTATCACGTCTATGTATTTCCTCTACTAGGGCTTCACGGGCTTCTTGACGTCTCCTTGAAGGCATAATGAAGGAACGACTTCGGCTCTGATACCAACTGATGTAGGGGAAGCTTATAGGAAAGACAAAAATCTCACAAAAAAGAATTTCAATCAAGAGAAATTCAAGAAAAACTTTATTTCATTCAAAACTGAGCTGCCTCCAAAGGCTTACAACGTTTAAATAGCGAAACCCTAATAAAATTCGGAAAGAAATTACATAATAATAAAAAATATTATTTTTTTCAAAAATGGAAAAAATTGAGATAATCACGGATTCTGATTCTCCTAATCATCAGGATCATCCCCCAACAAACGGAAATCAAATCCGAGTTTATTTGATTAAGATATTGTCAAAACAAAAATTATCATAAACGGCAAAAACGCATAATTGAAGGCCTAAACGATGGAATTTGTCCAAAATTTGACGTGCTTCAGGGCCAAAGGCCCTGAGTTGTGATCATTGGCCCGTTTCCATTCAAATTAGACTAGCAATTCGTAAAAAACGAACAAACCCGAAATTAAATTGCGTTATTATTTTGCCTTCATCACCATGCTACCAATTCACTCCAAAAAACTCCCCAACCTGTTAATTTTGTAACAATTTCTTCGCCAGTCGCGACTAGTGTCGCGATTTTGCCTGAAATAATTGCGATTTTCTGCGCCGGTGTTCACACTCATGGAGGCGGACCACTACTAGCCTCTTCCCCACATCCAGACGAGCCTATACATGGTGGCAATTCATCCCCAACCATCTCCTAAACAGGCTGAATTTGAGTCTAAAAACTGCCATGTCGAGAAGCTCGTGATTCCGCCAGCGAAGATCTCAATTTCCGGCGCCGTCCGGAGCACCCATGGAGGCGGACCACTTGGGCTAGGTTCTCCTTCACTTGGCGCACCTAGCCCAGTAATGTGTCTTCACCAATTACACCCAAACCCTGTCCAATTAATGGTTGCCATTAGCGGTCTGTGCAAAAAATTGGGTTTTCAAAATTTTGATGATCCTACACTGCTCTAAATGATTAATTCGATGGGGGGAAC